TGCGATTAAACGTATAGATATATAAACCCTTTTTACACATTTAGCAGCATTTTTAATACTACATTAGCACTTAACCCAGCACAGTTCAGCGGATTGATTCACTTTACAAGAGCTGTATTTCCATTTGCGCTATCGAGCTGTTTCCGCTTGCTTTTGTAAACCAATTCGATACGCTGAAAGTACGCTTATGTAGTATTATCTGTCTATTCTATCGCGCAAATAATTTTGTAAATATTGATCACTCGGCGCAACGTGCGCGGCGCAATGACGCCTATCATTTGCGTTTGAGAGAAAATGAAACCGCGCCGCACGTATATACTCGCGAATACTCGCGAGTACTTGCGGGCACTCGAAAGCGCAAGCACGCACAGTCAAAGATATATTATACACACGCGCACACACAAGAGATATGCCGTTTTCATCGACGCTACTGCGTCACAACGAGGTCGCGTCGTATTCATTAAACGTACCATAATTTTCTCGAGTATCATACATTACGCATACTGCAGAAACAACTGCCATCCGCACGAACTTGTCTCTCTTTTTTTTTACCAGGTTCACTCACAAGCTAGGAAAAACAGATTTCGTTTTTTAAACTGAAATACACGGCCGCGGTATTATTGGGAGATTTATTTTCTTTATTTGCAGAGAAGCACATTATTAAAAATGCAACATTCTCCAGCGGCGACCGAATAAGCTTGGAATAAATTTATATGTTCACGTTGCTTTTGGCTTTTTCTAATTAAAATAAAAATTCCTCCCAAAAAAATAATGGTAAAACTATCGAAGAGTTATTTACCCTTTCAATAATAATCGAGTTTAAACGATTCGCGAAACATTGTTCTTTAAAATATTTTTATTATTAAAGAGTTTATATTGGATTATTCCCAGGGTTACGGAAACTGTCTAGTATTCGGAGATACTCGAAATCCAATTTGACGAGATAAATATATATGGTAGTATAGCCTCAAATACACCGAAATACGAGAACGTCGCGGGATCAAGAAATCTCGAGTTCCATGCTATGTTTCTGCTCTTTTTGCGAAGGCGCTCGAACGATCCACCGACTTTATGTTTCACATGGCATCACGAGAAAATGTCGAAACCGAATACTCACATTTTAGGAACATTCCCATTTGGCTCGTGAATCTTTTATTTCTACTTGAAGGCTTCGACGGAACATATTTATACCTTTAGAAAGCGAGCAAAATGACAAAAAAACATTTTTATCAGTGAATCTAGATTTACGATCCGATCCAACATAATCGTTAAAAGAAATTGCCGCAATTCTATTATTGCGTGTAAGATTTGAAACGTAAAACCAAAAAAAGTCTCAAAGTATATCTGATTGTTCTCGCATTAGATCTAAATATCTATAAGTTAGATCTAACGCAGAGTGTGTGTGTGTGTGTGTGTGTGTGTGCGCGCGCGCGCGCGCGCGCGCGTGAACACACACACACGTACACACAAAATAAAGGCAAATACTGTTTTATATGTAGGTATAGATTTGAAAAATCAACGTATATTTTCAATTTTTATTTTCTGCTCTATATAAAATTACTATATTGTAAAACGTAGCTTGATTACCAACGTATAAATAAATATATGTGTACTCGTGCAGAAAAATAAATTATTATCGCGCGAAAGACTCCTAACGCGTTGTCCTTTCGCGTCATGTATGCAGATGCAGGGATTTGCAAAAAATCTGACAGTACACTTCTTCTATTCCTAGTTTCGCATTTCTCCAACGGCGCATAATTCTTTACCGCAGTCCTTAATGCTCGCGTCGGTTGATTAAGTTACTTCTCTCGTTTCTCCTTACCGAGTTACTTACCTGGACTGGGCGGAACACACCGTTATTTTTCACTTTGTTTACTTTGGTTACCGGAAATCTATATTTCATTGTGCGTTACATAAAACGTCGTCGTGCTTCGCATGGTTCACGATATGACTGAATCAACTCACGTATTACAGTAACATGTAAAACATTTCATTATCGTGTACATGTCGTTGTAGCGATTTTTTAGCAATGAGATTACAGTGATTTACGTAACATCGGTAAAAGCAATTAAATGTTATCGAAAAGTAGAATAAATCCGAATGAAGTGCGCATTTATTTATAATAATATCTTTATCTCTCCTCAAAATTACATTTAATTAAATTACGTTTACATTAAGTTTAATAAATACATAAATATTAATTTAATTAAAATCCCAGCTTATTTAATTATTAATGTACTGATTATTTCACAGTTTAAGCTATCGGGATTGTTACATGAGAAGTCTAAATATATACTCTGATAATATTTCGCTCTTGCAATAATAATAATTAATATTTTCGTATGTGTTACCATATTCTTATTTCACTTACAAAATAACATATTAACCAGGTCAATAATCTTTTTAAAGCGATTTTGTACATACACACACACACACACACACACACACACACGCGCGCGCGCGCGCGCGTTCATGCATGTGTTTGTTACAAAATCCTTAAATTTATTAAATTTTTAAGAAACATTCACCTTTCATGTTTATAACATTTTATTTATTCAAAATAAGAAGAGTGCAAAATTAAGTATTTATTAATTTTGTTAAGATTTTTACGTGTATGCCAACGCGAAAGTGATTTGTTATTTTACGCAATCCTGATGTTTATAAGTGTGAAATCTTATAGGTTTAAGGAATAAAGCTTAGTGAGAGAAACGTAAGCAAGTGTCGACATATTAGGGAAGTGGCTATTGACGATTTAACGGATTACTGACGCTGAAACAAGAGACCAAATGTGCCTTTGAGTAAGCCGATTGCGCAGTCCACAACTGTAAGTGCAGTCTGACTTCTCGAGTTTCATGTCGCCACTCCGGGAAGATCGACAGCGTAATGTACACACGTTAAAGCGGAAATGTGCCTAACCAGTCACGGCCAATTAGTCATCGTATACATGATTCATTAACTCGGAATTAAATTGCATTAAAAGTGGCAGTTTCGACATTTTTTGTCAATAAAGTGCATTTTTCACGCGAAGACGTCATACTATAACGATACATTAATTAATAAACTCAATAAGGTTTACAAAATCAATAATTTCTTTCTGCAACGTAATGCAATAAAACGAAGAAATATTCTCAAATTGTACGATATGCACCGAGATATTTGAATTCGTAAAGTGCAGCATGCTTTAAATACGAATTTGCTAATGGTTACGAGCGCATATTGACGATATCGAGAAATTATCTTAAAGAAATGTAATATCGCGATGAATTTGAACGCAAAGCAATTCAGTTGCTTTTGCGGTCCATCCTTGGGACACTTCTCTGTAAGGTATCCTTGATTTTCTTAATCGAAAATCGCCGCAATTTGGTTGCATTCGGATATCGTAGCGCATATCTGGCTCATGGGCAATTAGACGGAAGCGCATTCCCAGCCATTAGCTCGAAATGAATTCGCATTTAGGAGGCCCGGAGGGCTGATGGGCAAACCGATCGGCAAATTCGATTTTCTCCGCGTATAGCCTCCGTCTGTGGATTATTAAACTTATCGATTGGAACGCGGAGCGATCGAAGGGCGGGAAAGGGGCGAAAAGGGTCAGTGTGGCCACGGCCCAGGATATCACGGGAGGCTTTAACCGCCCTTCGTGTCAAGCAATCGGCCGCCTCGGCCTCGATTTATTGTCCAGTTGGTCGATCGTCCCGATATCGTTTCTGCCCTATTTTCTATCTATGTCTCGTCATATGGAGGTTATTTCGTGCGAATGGTATAAGCTAATTGCTGTTTTTTTTTCCTTGAAATACCGACGACGACGTTTTAAACGCGCTTTCTCTCTCTCTCTCTCTCTCTCTCTCTCTCTCTCTCTCTGTCTTTGTCTCTTCCTTGCCTCTCGGTCAGCCTCGTACGATGAACGCAATTGAATTGGAATTTGTCGTTCGGGTACACACTGCGTCTCATTAGGCGACCGCATTATACTCCCTCGGGTATCGACGGTATCGTGGTACTCACCCCGACCAGACCCGACGACGACGAGCGGTGTATGCAGTAAACGGTGCCTAGCGATGTTGACGGTTTTGTAATTGCGCCGTTATCGATGCTCGATTTGCTCCGTCAGCGAATTCGCCACGGATACGTGAGTTTAGAATTTTTTTCACGATGCTATTACTCTCGAGCTTCTCGTACAGCACAACGTCATGTCGCACCGCCCCTCTCATGTCACGTCGAATTTTCTCCACGATGATGCCTCTGCGCAATAATCCGGATTATTATACACGTATAAACGGTATTATCGATCATGACGGATTTAAGTGCATAAGCTACGCCTGTTACAATGAAATTTTTCTTTTTATGGAAGACACACGGATTTTCCTGCTAGCCAATATTGTGCAAATATTTCGAGTGTTATTCATTGGCATCGCACGATCGCAATCGAGATCGATTTTTCAATTTCACCGTTCGATGCATAATAATAATCTACCGACAAATGGTGCCCTTATCCCGATGTGAAATTAACTTGATTATCTGATGTTTCGAGATAAACATGTATATACGTTTAAACAGACCGATACCGTACGCATCAAACGTAAACACTTGTAAATTACGCGTACCAAAAACTACACTCGTTCCTGAGGGGCCAATCGTACACAGGAGAAAGAACTGATGGCTTACGGTCGATGAATAATAAAATTTCACAATCTCTGTTGCATGCTGAATAATAGAACCAGCTTAGCCGACACAAAACGATCGCGCATATTTTTCATCTGTCGATTTCTATGATCTCGCATTCAATCACTGTGCTGCTATCAATTGATGGCAATCGACTTGATATAAATAAAAAAAGAATTCTATATAGATATATACATGTGTGGGGTGTGATACCACCAATCTTACTCGTTGCCCAATTTTTTATTCGGAAAGGAAAATAAATATTTTACATGTATTTATAAAATTGTGAGTTTCTATGTGTACTCACGTGATGTATGTTCAGCATTCGGTGTTTTGCTTTGCAGAGATTCCGGGCAGATGGAGGAGGCATTGTCCTCACGGGCCGATGATGTCGGGCTCTGGCTGCAACCTGGTCGGCGAGGGAGTCGCGACAGCCGAGGACGGAAACGTGGCGACCGCCGGCAAATGCGTTTGCGGTCCGTCGGTGCCCTGGTGCCCGGGTGAGCCGCGGCCCTACATGTACATGACGCGGCACGAGTGCCGGCTCAATTTGGAGGCGAAAATTGCTTACGGTAGGACGCATTCATTCCATATGCGAGCGCACTGTGATATACGGCGATGCCGCGCGATACGATCCGCGTGTTCTGCTGCGGCGGCACGATAATGCGCGTCAAAGTGCACTAATGGCGAAATTAATTTCACGCTCGATTCGTCAAATGGCGCGAGATACACCCATCTATCGTTAGGGGAATCGGACGTAATACGTGTAACGCGGGACTATCAATTTTAATTATCCCTCCGTGTTTGTCAGAACCCGCGGGAAACTTGTATAATCGATGAAAGTTTTGTACGCGCTCGCTTAATGCGCGTAACAATTTGTTCCGATTCGTTGCGTCTCTTTGGAGACGTTGTGGTTGATGATTGATGATATAGACGGAATAGTTGAATCGGGGGATAATATTTGATACCATAGTTTACATTTATAATTATTACAATGATAAGAGAAATTATAGATCTTTGTTTTAATAGAAGAGTCATTGTAAATAATTGATTAGATATCTTCATTAAAAAAAAAATACAGCACGATTGTTCCGTTTAACTATTATTGCATCGAGGAAAATGAAAACAATCTGTAGTTATATGTTTGGCTGTTTACTATATTTTCAAATATGCGTTCGATCGCATGAATTTCTTAATGAATGAACAGTATTCATAGCATATCGATGAGTTCACGAATCGATTGCGAAAATGTCTTTTTAGTATATATTGGCTGCGAGTGATTGCAAACGTCAATGTTTATTTACTATTACGTTTTTGCTCTCTTAGAGTGGCCACAAAGTTTCTGTTTGCTTTACGTTGTTTATCCAGCGCTCGCGTGCTACATTTTACGATAAGAATCACTGACGTGATGGAGAACGGGATCAATCTCGCGTAAAAAGGAACGACGTTATCGTCATTGCTGTTTCCGAATAGATCAGGGATAAAGATCATTCGCATTGCGCCGCACGAATGTCTTATACTGCCGCGTATTTGCAATAAGCAATAAAATTTTTGGGTCATGAGCACACGGTCGTGAAAACCATAAACATTCATTTGGCCCGTTAACAAAAGTCGTTTGCTCGGCGCCGATAGTGTACCTGTTTTAAACTCAATTTCGCTTTTTAAAACATCATGCGCAATTTATTAGACGCGTCGCAATTTCACCGATGCGATTCGTTAATTACGCAAATAATTACAGTCGGCTGTTTATATTTTACTGCTGTTAAGCCTTTTAATGCGGAGCCTTTATTTGCCACGAGAGAGCCTTATTTAGTCTTTATTCTTTAACAAGTTATTTTTGCATGATATTCACATTTTTTAAAAGTGTTTAAATGGAGCTTGAATTTTTTCGGATGGTCTTTTCTTCGATTGAACTTGTTTGCGTTTGCATGTTACAAATAAAGTAAAGAGTTGATCGTGATTGGGAACCGGTTGGAAGTGAAGAAGTTAAGAATTGACAGTCATTCGAGCTGTATGGTTTTATTGCTTGATATTAATCGTCATGTTTTTATCATCGGTCATTACTCCAGAAGGACGTGCCTTTTCGGCTGTCTTCTCTCGTCAGTGCGGCCAGTGTTCGAATGTGTATGAAAAAGCGAAACAGTAGCGAGGTGAATGAAATACGTGAAACTGTGCTGAGTACGCGAACGGCGCGGCGTTAATGAAAAGAAAACATAAATAGTGTCGGAGGTGAGGACAACGACTAAGAAAAACGGGAAAACCAAACTGAAGGGGATACAGATGGTATACCGGGCCGGTAATGAGAAAAAGACACAGCCACGAGCCACGTTTGTGATGCAACGTTCGTTTGTTCGTTATCGGTTTCGTCGTTTCTGATTAAAACACGCAAAAACAACTATCATGTGAGAGAGAAGATTGTGTTACGCTGTTAAAACTTGAAGCGACTTTTTTATAAATTTCTCGATTTATTCAACCTGATTTCTAATATACTGTAGTCATTTCTATATAAGAACTAATTAAACTTTACGCGTCATAATGATTTCTTTTACTCAATTGCATTAATATTGAATGTTTTTTGAAATAATGTTAAATAATTTCTTAAAACATAATTTGAACATGGAAAAAAGTTATTTTTAATTTCTATTTAAGCAAATATAAAAAGAATTTTTTTTTATCTTAATAATTTTTTTCTCTTTATTTTTTTTCATTGAAAGTGTAAATGTTAGAAAGAGAGAGAGATATTTCGAATCTATGCATATGTATATGTACTATATTAATATAAAGCGCGTGTACATGTTGCAAGTTGGCTGTCATGCGCATTCGATTTCTTTTGCTCTCGGCGCCAATAAATTGTTCATGTCGAAAGAAATAACTGCGTGTGGGAGACTCCATAACAGTTATGATTAGAACTCTCATCCGGAGTTGCTCAGAATCAATAGTTAACTCGTTCTTCTTTCGAGTGCAACTTGCAGAAGTCCATCTCGACACAGTGCGGTGTTCAACGTGTAACGAGGTTGTTGGTGAACGAGTAACAAAAGTAGTTACCCCGGACGGTGCAGAAAGTTAAATTCGATTCGTTGAGAAAAGTTTAATCGCGTACGTTCTATAAAGGTAGAAGGCAGACGGATTGTTCTTTTGCCAGCGAGTTAAGTACACGAGTAAAATCCCTAAGTCCAAAAGAGGAACAAAGGAACCAGTCGACCGAGTCCGTTTCGGTGAACCGAGGCATTTCCGGCGTACCTGAATGGCACTTCGCATATTAGAATTATGATCCGCGTAATGTTTTGTTTTTAGACATGAACAGGGGTATTACTTTTAAACAATAAAAGTAGAAAATCTTTGGTTATGATAATATTATAAATATATTATCTATTCCTTCAGTTGAATATTTCATGTCTTAATTACTAATATATAGGAAATATTATCTATTTATGATAATTTTTGAACAAAATTTAATTTTAGGTTTGCATTATTTTACGTTCTTTTTAATTACATTAAAAGGAAAATAAAATAAAGAATGAGATTAGTAAATTATAGACTGTCTTTAATTTACTATACAGAATTATTACAATTGTACCTACACAAAAAAATAATACAAAAAAATTTTTTGTATAATACAAAAAAATTCATTTTGTCGTTTCTTGCGTAAATTTTTATTATTTTTAATGATGAAAGCGAGTCTATTTTCAGAATGGACATCATTCAAAGCAGCAAAGCTGATTTGAATAGAGATATTTTAATGGTATTATCTCTTGCAGTGAAATAAACTGTTTGGGACGTGCCACGAATTTCATTGAACCTCATTGAAAGTAATTGTCTCCCGGTTAATTGAGTGCAATGCCCGATATTGTTCACCAACCGCGAAAAAAATCATTGATTTCGTCACGGGTGTATAACACATCGAAATGCAATGTATAGGAAATTGCGCGAAATACAGGATACGATAATAGGTACATGGTGTACATGCACGATGGAGCTGCACTGTATCTCTGTTACGTTTATATTGGTACTTACGATATATACGTTTATAGCGGAGATTTTTCCGCGTAAATTTATTTCGCGAAAATAATCAAATTCCATTGTATTATTTAGAGTAATTTAATTAGCATGTTGATTTTTAGTCAACAAATTTACGGTTCTTTATATTCTTCAATTTAGACACTTTTCAGAGATAAAGGCAGTCATAAAAAATGCATCGAAAACTATAAATTTTCACAAATATCAGATTTGTTCGTAATTTTTTTAAAATTATTATTTATGTGTATGCGGAAAAATTGTTTTTGTCTTCTTTTTTATACTTTTATTCTATGAAATTAAATTTTGTTATCATAATTGTGTCACAGTAATAATATATTCTCAAAGTAATTAACAGATTGATTTAAATTTATCGAATGTTTCGCAAGTATTTTTTTATTTGCTGCAAATAAATAATGGATTAATAACAAAGTTGCCGTCGACATATATATATATTGCTTAAATTGCTCGTTGCCGCGGCCGACCTGTCGTTAGCAGAAATTAATTCGTTTAATAACGCATGCGACACGAATTTACACTCGACTAGAAGTTTGGCGCCGAAATCGACTTCCCAACACCTTCAATTTCAGTTTATGTTAGGCCATTATGCCCGATTCATTTTATGTCTACAGCCTAACAACTAGTCGTCGCATGCCCGCGGCAAACTTATTCGACACGCTGATTCATGGAATATGAAGCGAATTGCGAATCATATTGCGGGAACTAATAAAACTTTGGTGATGTTTAGCGAACATAAATTAAATGCCACATGGCAAGAATTCGTTTGAGTGGATTTTCAGTCGGCGATTGGCAATGGCGGATGTCGGAGCGTTTGTTTCCAAGCATCTGGTGAATAAGTTAAACCTTTAATTGCTAGAACAGAAATGATTTTACTCGTTCCTTGAAACAGAAAAAGTTTCAACCAATTTTTCTATATCTTAAATATATTGTCCATATCTTAAATGGCAAACTGCTGTAAATGTGACTGGATCGTTTTTCCTTATAGTTTATTAGAATGAATAATCGCGAGAGAAAAGCTTTGAAACCTTATAATACTGCTTTTAAAATGACAAACTTTGCATCTCGCTTATAAAACTGATGATTGGAAGTAATGCCGAGCAGGAAATTAATACATTTTTTTTTTAATGATAAGAAGAGTTTATTCCCTTTTCTCTTTTTTCTTCTTTTCTTATTCGCTTTCGTCTCTATCGAAGTAACGTGATTGATTATTTTAAAACTTCTTGAAAGAAAACACAATCCGTTTTTTTACGTGGCAGGAATATGAAGGTGCGCTTTACTATCTTACTGTTTCGTTTCCGAATTCAAAATATATTTTGGTTCGTTCGTCACATGTCAGAGAACGTAACATCGAATGAAAGCGTTTATGAAACATTCCGGAACGTCGCTCGATCCTTTATACTCTTAGCAATTTCTTCTTCGTTCATAGATACTCCTCTCACGTCCCGGATCCAATCGCTTTTTACTCTTATAGTATGGCGAAACAACGTAAAGTCATATTGTGTCAGAAGTGCTGGCTCGGCAAGGTCTTAAGAAAACCTTTGGGTCTTCACTTTACTGCATGCAGAATTTTGAAGGGCGCAGGAACGTTCTATGAGAGTGCCTAGCACGGGTCAATTTTGCTCAAAAATTTCTTTTTACGCAAAAAATCCTTGCAACATTTAGACAACTATAAGAGATATTACAATACAGTGAAAATCGATATAAACTTTGTAGATGTTATAAATTTCGCAAGAAAATGAATTTAGTGTACAAATCGAGATAAGATGTACATATAATTGTTTTTAGCCGGAAGAGAGACTAAAATTGTATTATTTGCAATCTCTGCAAATAAATCAAATTATCACGTAATAATTTTCTTAGAAAGTTATTCCTTTTCTTATCACAAATTCATGAAATTCTAATTAGATATGTTCAGTGCATTAAAAGTAGTTGGAAATTGAAATACCTATTATTAGATATCCTTTGACGCGGGGATATCTATCTTTATTCAGCCGGGTTTTGGGTCAGAGCATCGTGATCGTGAGAAAACGATCTTCCGAACGTTGATTTTAGTTTGGTTTAGACATTAGACTACGCAATCGCGCCGATATAAACACGAGGTCAGACGTGATCGAGTGACGTACCACCAATCTACTTTCGTACGGAGTCAAGTCCAATCTAAAAATGTCAGATGTCCGACGGTCTAATTGCGAGGGACGAGGATGCGGGAGTGTAGGATTACGGATACCAATATCGTCACGGCGGTGCCTTACGGTTTTATACACTTCAATGGTCAATAACTTAATAATTGGGTCATTACGTGAACGCTTTATTGATCGTTAGATTCAACTCAATTCCCGACGGAGATCTTCGGTGTGCGCACGGAGTTACGAAGGATAAATTATAAAGCTCTCCTCGGAACAGAAACGAATCATTAATTCCGTCGGAAGTTACCTATTTATAAATTAACGACTCGCGCTAGGACGTATAAGATTAGCACGTGACATAAATATAATTAGCAACGATGCTCGTGGGTGATGTAAACAAGTAGGAAACTAAATAACATTAGCGGATGCTTCTTTATCATTCATTGTCCTATAATCTGTTAAAACAAACTGAAATAAAAAATAAACACATGGAATAAATCTGAAAAAATAACTATTACTTTTTTTTAAATAAAGATTTATAACAATCTAAATTTATTGTTTGAATAATTAAGCAATTTATACATACCTCAGTCTGTGTTAGGAACTTAGGAACACTTTAAACGAAATTTAAGAAGTAAATTTATGTTAAGGAAATATCGATCGAATATCTTTAAGTAGTTGATTTGTTTTATATTATTGATTTTTATCAACTTTATTAACAATCAATGCAAAAGGACACTGGATTGTACTTTTAAAAATTTGTTACGGTTGATGTTTACTATGAGCATATGACGTGAAAAGCTGATTGGATGGAAGGTGAAGGGCAGTTACGGCTGGGCAAATATTAATAGTAAATATTGCAGCGGTTGTCCCGAAGGAAGATTACTCCGTGGATTTGCCTGCACTTTCGAATAATCCGATATTTGCCCGGGACTCGCGTCGATGTTGCGTAAAATTTACTCGCTATATTAAACGTCCGGCGGCAATCCATTCGTATATTTATATAACAAACGTTCGCGGCCGCGCGAAATATTGAATTGCTCACCCCTAAGCAAATTCATAATCTATAACGCGTCGGTGCCCGCAATGGCGGTGATATTTAATAAGATCAGGACATTTATAGAGCTCACCGAGTCATTTATGGCGCGTAAATGAAAAAAAAAAACACTTGAGATATTTTTCACAAAATATTTTTAGACTTTTAAATATTCACGTAAATCTTTAAAATAATTTTTTATTTATCGAGTGAGTCAAGAAATATAACAGCTTTCGAAAGTGGAGCAAATGCTTTTTGAAATAGATATATAGGTATAAATATGTGATCTGTAATTTTCAGTGAGAAATTTCCTCGTCTTATTCTTTTCTCGGAATAAGAACATTAACTTATCTTTCTTTTTTTTTTAAGTCTCTCGTTCCGTTACTTTTTTACATAGCATTATCAATTGGTTCTGACTAATGCAATCTTCTTTGTGAATTCATTCTTTAATCAATGCCAATTACTTCGCTAGATGACACGCGATTTGGTATTTTAATGGAGCTAAATTGCATTTACGGCGCTGGTCATTACGGAGACGTAATTATCGAAGACTGAATTACTTTACTTGTTAGCAGTTCTCGATCGAACTGAGTCGCTTGGGCACCGATCGCGAAATAATGGACGCGCCCGAGAATGCTATCTAAGTTTAATCTAATGAAGTGTTTCGCAAGTACTCGTTAATTAATTCATGCCCAATATCCGTCTACCGAGAAGTACCCCCGCAGCCGATAAACTTCTAACTTCTGTTTCAGATGACCTCTATAATTCTGGCGACACGCCGAGCAGCACCGCCATCGAGGGTAAGTTACTTTCAACCAATTTCAAAAGTTTTCGCGAACGGGCGGCTTTAATTGAGTATGTTTAGTATTCATCCGCTGTCGTGTTTAAGGGATTAAAGGGAAATTATACGAGCTCGCGCTCCAACAGTGAAGTACGCGCGACTCTTCCTTTGACATTGTATCGTGGCTTTAGCAGTATTCAACTCTCGGCATTAATATATGTGTCCGTTGTTAACAAACGTTACTATATACCAGGGTTTGAAAAAACCCGGGTTTTTTAAAAAAAGCCCAGCCCAGTGAGTTTTTTTAGATTTTTATTTTCAACAAATTACCCGGTAGATTTTATTGGGTTGGGCCCATCTTGTCAAACCCTGCAAGTATCGCTACCAATTATTTCAATGCCTCATGATTTTTGCATTTATTTTTATATAATAATAATACTATATATTATAATGGAATAATAATAATGGAATAATTATGCATATTTTTATCAAAATATTTCAAGAATTTTTTGCTCGTATCAACTGTAGCCATATGAAAAGTTCATAAAACATTACAAAAAACGATACAAAATTTTATAAGCATAACATTACAATTAAAATTATATTATTAAATGATATTTTAATCGTACTAGTTGAATTTTACTGTCTTAAAGATATATACGATTCAAATTTTGTTTCTTAAAACAGAATAATATTAAGATGGAACTATTTAAATGATATTGCGGTTAAATAGAAATTTTTTTCCGTCACTTTCCACGATATCAATACTACTTACGCTGCTACTAATTACATCCCTTATCGGCATCACGTATCTACCACATTCTTCGGGACGGTGCGTGGTGTACGAGACAGCGGATAACCACCATTACCGCCAATGTAACAGCAAGATAGTCCCCATAAGCGACGCAGTGTAGAATTGAATTATTTCGCAGAGATCGGGGAAAGGGTCGCGAGGGTCAAGCAGCCAGCACTAGAGACACACGGGTTAGGGAAGGTTAATTTAATTTGATAGGCGAACGCCTCTACAACCGCTCTCTGTCCTTTCCTTCTTTCTTCTTCCTCTTTGTCTGTTGCAAAATAAGAAGAAGAAAGTAGTGAAGATAAGAACTTTCCTTTCTTGGACGACCATAGTTAGCCCATTTCGCGCGGTTTGGAACAAACAGCGCGAAAAAGAGGACGAACTTCGGCGATACGCCGAATGGCCGTAACAAAGGAAGGACCCCGCGTATATCGCGGCACATTTGCGGCGAAGCTTTTCACAGAGAATTTCCGACGCGGCCGGGTGCGTTAAAAAATTACACTTTTGCGTGTGTACCGTGAAATTGAAGTGGCAAGGTCGTTTTCCGTTTTTTTACTTGGAGCTCGTATCGCACCGGTACTAGCAGCCGGTTTCGCGTTACACTTGTGTCACTTTCGAACTGCTGCTTGCTGTTGAAATTACGTTATACAGGGAGTTTTATCGATCGCTCATTTAAATTTCGACATAAACGAATAGCAGGGATGGTACAGTGATGATCGAGAAAAGAAGTGGTTGACTTTTTATCAGACTTGTGAGATTTTAAGATCAGATTTTTTCCGGGATTGCAAGATGCTCAAAGATCTTCAAATCGTTTCTTTGCAAACTCGAGAAAAACTTGATTCTAAATTTTTTTATTATTTTAAGATTCACTTTTTTTTTAAAGAGGTGAGCAAATTTTACCATTGCGCCGATTAATTTTTTCGTATTTAATGGTTGTTACATTCACATTAACAAAACTGTCGTTCATCACTGTATTATTCATCACTGTAAATCGCGAAAGTTGATACTGTTTCAAAAGTGAAGGAACAATTACATTATTTCATGTAGTTGGGAGCCAAGGGCAATTTATCGGGTAGTCTTTCGCAAGACGAGCGATAAAAACTTCCCTCCTACTGCTGCTAGTCATCGTGGTTGCCGTCGCGCGGCCATTTCCAACGAGTTTTTATGGACAGTTTTCATGGATTGGCTGCAAAAGGGAATAACAAAGAATAATCGCGCGTGGCAAAGTTCGTCAATGTAATTGTATGTCGACGCGGAACGTTTTCAACTAAAGTCAATGAAACCATGTGGTAGACTAATGGATGAGGTATAGACAAATAAATAAATTTTATTAAACATGTGATTAATATTTTTTATTATTTTTCATTATTAAATCAGGATTTTGAACTGACCTTTAGATTAAAGAGTAATTGTTAAAAAGTTTTTGAAAAATTTTTAACTACATTTTTATTTCTATATTTGTGATAAAATACAAATGCAGCAATTGACATAAAATGCATTATTTTTGCATGTGTGGATAAAATCGTCGAAAATTGATTTCTTTTGCCAAAATTTCAAATCATTATTTATTTTCATCAAAGATGAAGGAAAGGAATTACGCAAATGCCAGATTTCTAATTAAAAACTCTTTAATATTTGCGAGTAATTTCGTTAATACAGAAAATAAATCCAGACTTTCGTTTAGACGGAAATTGTACATTTATAACTGTATGCTTTTGATGAAAGATACTAGAAGCGAATGGATTACCGCACGGAGCGAAAACGTGACGAAAGCTGCTGCTTTCGAACAATCAGACTCGCACAAGCGCGTGTATCCTTCGTTTTCTCGAATTACAAAAGTCTACGGGATGTGCCTTTCACGAACTTTCTCGAGGATCTCGGGTATCTTTGAGCGGCAACCTACCTCGGTAGTTTCCTTTTGATTCTATCCTTCCAGCTTCCATCCGAAGCGTTATTTTGAAGCGCCTCTTTCTCCCGCGACCCTTTTTTCTCCCGGATGCTACTCTACGTGTTATTAAATAAACTTGCCCGCTGTCTCTCTTCCGAGAAAGGATTCTCCGGTAAATATGGCACTATGACGCGCCAGCAACGTGCAAACATTGGCAAACTTTAATATCGTCCGAGCGCGGGCATAATATAACATATTTTATTAAAGTGCACTGAAAACACTCTGTGCTGTTATGCAGGCCGTTTCGTAATCCGTTGCTCGAATATGCTTTTCCGAAGTCATTCCAAACTGTTGTACAAAAAAGACAAAACTATTCGGATTGTTATGATATTAGAAATTTCGCAACGTAGTTGTAAACAATTTTTGAGTAAAAATCTTAATTGTAACGCAATATTTCATGTATTTATGAATTTGTAAAGTGTTCTATAAGTTATACATAAGTTTAACATCTAACAATAAAAAAAAAATTCTAATTTTATTGTAATTGATATGATTAAAGCAAATAATTAATTTCGAATTAACCGAACGGAATTGGTCAACAATGATGATAATAATAGCTTTTGATTATTTTTGCTTTTGATGACGACAGAATATAACTTACAATCAGATCGGAGAGTAATAAAAGTTGCAATGTAGGTATAACGGTGCTCTCGCGGACCATCCCCGGGATTTATGTTTTCCCCATAGTGGCAACGAGAGCGGGTAATCCGCAAGAAGGACGAGGAGGAGGAAGAGACGCGGGCGGAAAATGGTATTCGCGCGTATACGGATCCTGAGCATATTTGCCTCGATAAAACGGATAGGTTGTCTCGAGTTCGCGGCGACGGTGCTGTTTATTCGAGCCAACCGTGGTTATGGAGGAAGAGGCGGATAAAACTCGGATAAAACGCGGTAGAGGAGAGAGGGAAGAGAGAGAGAGAGAGAGAGAGAGAGAGAGAGAGAGAGAAAGAGGGGGACTCGATATCAACCTCGATGTAGGGAAATAGAAATTGAGCGAAGTAACAAGGCGCCGGAGGCCACGTCGTCGTCGTCGTCCGGAACAGAAAACGCTACGTTCGCTTTCGGGTTTCTTTATGAAAAGCGAGCGACGTCGCCAGATGGTGGTTTATCAAAATGATATCCCCCCTCTCTCTCTCTCTCTCTCCGCCGCGATTCCTAGCGGTAAGATTAAGCCAGTTCGTTCGATAGGATCTGTCAAGAGAGGGAATTCTCGAAATATAAGGTTCAGCGCTTCAACGTCAAAATGTCATCTTGTTGACAATAAACGCAATAGGCGCATCGACGATAGATATAACGAATCGATGTGTGAATAAAGATTGCTCCAGATTTATTGCCTTCGTTAAAATTTCATTTGTCGACATGAGGTGATAAAAATTAATGACGAAGCAAATTTAACTCGACATGCTATTGTCCTCGCGATACCGAAGCAAATGTTATTTTTCAACTTGGCAATATATCGTTTATGAATATGGAGGCGGACAAGGTTCTTATATAACGATCTAACATCTAATATCTACGTTATACAATTGATCAAGTTTCTCGACGGATCGCATTTTATATCTGTCGGTTTATGCCGGGTAGGAGGACTCTCGAACAAGACGGCCGTGCAATTTGGTCGAATTAATTTTTTTCTATTACGAGCTTGTTACGGGCCTAAGTGGATCGTGAAACTCCAGCCGGCGTTCTAAAGAGTAATCCGAGGGTGTGGCCGGGCCGAGATTAAACGTGGATTAATTTATTGTTCCCCACTCCTAATAGAACTATTTCCTTACAAGAACTGATTTCATTAGAAGCTTGCTGCTGGTTTAAGTGGATTGTTAAACTTTACGGCAATTCGAGGGAGACACGCAGAGTGTCGCAGAGACCATGTATTAATTTACCACCTGTGTAAAAACTGCTTTCGCGAAAGAATTAATTTTGCCTTTAACTTGAATTTTCTTCCGAGCTTAAAGGATCTACAAAGGTGAGATTGAATTGATATAGTCGCTCGAGCTCGAAATCTCGTTCTATTTTCACGAAAAAGCTTACGATAGAACGTTTGGGCGCAATTTCAATGATACAATCGTTTTCTTAGATAGTATATACTGAGATACACAGAAATTTTACTCATAATTTACGTCAAAACTTTTTATTCGAAAAATATAAAGGATTCAATTTAAAAAAATTAAAAAATATTTACCTTGTAAGTCTCCATATTTTTTTCAAGCGTAGTCGAACTATAACTGATAAGTAGAGTTTCTTTCGTTAGAAACTTGTCCAAATTAAAACTTAT